AATCCAATCCTAACATGTGTAGGAACACAAATTTTAAAGCAACAATCACAACACCTTTGTAAACCAATTTTAAGCAAGCTGCGACAGATTTAATTCAGATTAATTTGATGCAATTAAATATTGTTCTAAGCACCTGTTCTAGAGTTCAAACTTAGTCCTAGATTAATTACTAGGCAACCATATAAATCGTTGATCTCAATTGAACAAGAGAAATAAACATGTTACAAGAGAAACCAACTAACAGAAACCTAAAGAATTTTGGTATAACCGTTCCATTCAACGAAGTTAATTGTTAATTTAAACATGCATAATAGATTGTTTAAGTATTAGTTTAATCCCTGGAGTCTTCCTAAGCATGCACAGAACATGAATTAACGGAAAAGAATAGAACAGAACTTGCCTTTAAGTTCAAAGTTGAAACACTGAGTCCACGTCTCTGAGTTTTAGTTTTCCTTGCTCTGCCTTTCTAAGCCCTCTCTGTAAATTACTCACTCTCTGTTTCTCTGCCCTCACAACCCTCTGTATCACTATATACGTGACTATAGTGAATAGGGTTTACAAAAACCCTTAGCAGATGTAAACATATGTATTTATAAGTTTAAGTTGAAACCCTAACCTTAATCCTAAACCACCTACAGGTCAGCTCAGACTAAAACACGATGAAATTAATAAAACCCTAATAATTTAAAACAGTTAAGTTGCCTTTAAAATAATTAAACCAATTACAAATAAATCAATTAAAAAAAATCAACAAAATTAAATTAAACAATTTAAGCAATATTAACAATTAAACAGGTAAAAAAAAATCAGTCACAAAAAAAATGCAGCACTTAATGTAAGCTAAATAAATCTAAGAATTTAATAAATCAAAGAAAATAAGTAAACCAAAGAATTAATTCAAATAATACAAATAAGTCAAGTAAGTTAGATAATTCAAAAACAATTAAACAATTAAAAAAAAAATCAATTAAAACATAAATTGAAAATTAAAACATAAATTAAATACCAGGACTATCCTTTTGAAATTAGGGGTATTACAAATAACGGCTAATGTATGATTTTAAACCTCAAAGCAATTACATTTTCAGAAATCCTCAAATAAATTAGTATCAACTGTGCTTGGGTAGGGCTACTTATTAGATTAAATTAGGGTACGAAATTACCTTAAATTAAAGTAACAATTAACCTTCAAGCTTCAAGATCACTTCCACTGGTTCCTATAATGGCGGAAACACGGCGGCTCGGGCAACTTCTAGGGCTTCCTGCAACGTGCATGGAGGAGGAAGAGAAGATGAGTAAAACGTGATTTACTTTTGTGGGTTTTTACCATTACAAGCTTGGGGGTATTTTCGGTATAACATATTTAAATACACATCACTTCTTTGGCACATGTGACAGCAGGGGTATTTTCGTCACAAAAGTCAATTTGTCAAAACATTTGTTAACCACGCGCGGGGTTAACGGAGCCAATGGCCAAAGTTGGGGTAATATGATAACGTTTCTATATTGTTGGGGGTTTTTAAAACTGGGTGGGGTTTTATGATCACTTTTTAATAGTTTTGGGGGTTTTGAGAAATTTGCCCTCATTTTTATTACTTTTACTATATATCACTGCTCTCTATATTTATTAATAATTATATACCCTCACCATTTCTAATATGGTAATTAAAGATATACCATACCATTCTTGATTTAGTAATTAAGAAGGACATGTCAATTTGTAATTGATCTACATCAACGATGAGGATAAAGTACATTTTCAGAGAATTTATTGGAAAAAAAATCCTCTCAAATTACTCTCTCACTGCATTGGTCCAGCGGGGTAAAAAAACTAGACTTGACAGTTGAGTTAAATTCATATTTACCAAGGTTCTAATATATTCATATAACTTCTGTATACAACATATCTATTATTTAACAAATTTGACTTTCACTTCATAAGCCAACTTGATTGAAATTTGAACATCCCTAAAAGAAAGAACGAAAATTCTAAAAAAGAAAAAACCAGATGCAAAATAGAAAAAGAACTATAGGAAAACATGCAAATCAGAAAAACAATTAAAAATGAAATTCTTATTTCGATCAAAAGGTAAATTTGTTAATCTTTTTCTTTGATTTGGAGCCGAATAAGAACAAATGATATACCAGTTAGAGGGAAGAACAAAATAATAATGAACACTTATTAGAGTTAGAACGATTTTTTTTCCTGATGCAGAAAAGAAAAAGTAAAAAAGGTATTTTAATTTCATTCAAAAGGTAAAGTTAAATGGTATAATAAATATACTCTGTATAATATATTATATAAAGTATAACGTATAAAGTAGAACATATGAAGTGGTATTCGATGACAAGAATATATGAGGGAGGTAGCGTTAATCACCACAATTAAATGCTCACACGGTAGTATCATTTTTATTACTTTTACCATATATCATTGCTCTCTCTTTATTTATTAAATTGGCATGAAACTTTTTAAAATTACAATATATATATGAGATACATGCCCATGGCCCACAAATCTACATGAGTTGAGCCTAGGATTTTTTTTTTTTTTTTTTTCATGTGTATTATCATTGCATTTTTAATTTTTTTCTCCAAATCCAAATTGTTGCTCTGTGTGGAATCTGGAGCTGACCATTTTGTTGCCTAATTTTTTTAGTGTGAATTTTAGCATCCAACCAGATTCCAAAATTCACCAAATATACACAAAAATTTATCTAATTTCAAAATTTTCTATTGGGAAGATTCTAGAGACCAATATTATTGACCATTACTTAAAATTAACTTGTACTACATGATCACCCTACCAATCTTCCACGATGACCAACCTACGTACTTTCCTAGCTATTGCATACCAACATTCATATCCTTACATGCATACTTATTAATATATATATATATATATATATAATTATTTCTTATCTATAGGAGTATCTACTATCTATTTGTCAACTAAAGTCAAGAAACTATATTAGTTTATACCTTTCACAATCAAGTACTAAGTTTCTCATGAAAGGCAGAATAAAAAACTAATAACGAGAACATGCTTTCATAGCAAATAGTTGTTGACGGCAGCCCAAATTGCTGAACTCATACTAATTAATTAATTAATTTCTCTAACGGTCGGTGATGGTTTACAATTGATTATTATATATATAATAATTAATTTATCAATTCATTAAATTTACCTTATAAATTTTAACACAAATTTTTTACTGTAAATATAATTATTATTTAATCCACTTTTCAAACAATTAGATACAAATCTTCAAATTTTTGCAAGATCATAAAAGTGACACAAACTTCTTTCTTGTATACGCATATATAATGTACACACAATAAGTGGGAATGTGGGGCCAAACTTTGGGGTCAAGACTTACCCAAAAAAAAACTATGGGGTCAAGAAAAGGGGCGCGAATCACCTGTGCAATTTCTATGCGGTTTCTTACTGTAATTTTTAAGTGGTCTATATTTGGCCACATCATTCTTCAGCTAACAGACACTAAGGTCATGTTTGGCCAATTACACCACAACATTTCACCACCATTTATAACTAACATCACATAATCTAAAAAGTAATATCACTATTTGTAAAAGAAAACATCACCACTTTTAATTTCAAATAACACCACCATTTATATGTAACATTTCACCGTCATTTATAAGTAACATCACTATCATTTAAGTAGCAATTACACCACTATTTATAAGTAACATTTCATTACCATTTATAAGTAACATCACAGAAGTCTAAAAGTAATATCATATAATTTAAAAAATAACATCACTATTTGTAAGAGGGTAACATCACTACTTAAATGGTGATGATATTACTTTTTAGACTATGTGATATTACTTTTAGACTTGGGTGATATTACTTATAAATAGTGGTGAAATGTTACTTGGTGTAATTGTCAAACATACTCTTAGTGTCTGTTAAGTGAAGTAAAAAGTGGCCAAATTAAAACCACTTACCGCTCACGGTAAAAAAAAACAGCACCGGAAAGTAACAGCATGTGATTCGCGCCCCAAGAAAAGCCACTTGAGAGAGTGTGAAAGACGAAGCTAACACTCGCCTACCTTATTTTGCTGAACCGCGTTGATTCACCGGTAAGATACACACAGATATATTCAGAGTTTTGCTTCAACAGGGTGACTTTTGATCCACGTCTCATCTGACGTGTGTTCAATATCTTAATGTTCCAGTAGAAGGAGGGTGGAACATTCCATCATCTTTACTTCTTTTCATACTCAAACACCAACTACTTACTTGTCCACGTGCCCCCAAGAGCGCGTGACCTCAGATGCATCACTTGTTAAGTTCACTTCTATTATTGCACTAAACTTGAGATTTAAGAACTCTTTTATATTATATGGGCTGGGGCAAGTGCAGATAATAGTATTGTTTAAATCTAAGTCACATTTAATTCCTTAATATTATTTAAGTCACATTTAGTATTTTATGGTATTGGAATGATCAAATAAAGATAATATTTGAATTTTTCATTTTGGTTTTAAGTGATGATTAGCCTGAAATCATTGGATTCAAAATTATGTAATAATTTCTCGTCCATTAAGCCATTTGTTTTGAGTGATCTAGATTTTCTACTGCTACAAATTTTGGGCTTAGGTTGGAATATTTTTGTTATTACTAACATTCACGCGCCATGGATGCAAGTGAACTTTGGCACCTCTAGTGTGGCAAAAGATAACCCCCAAAAAAGAAAAAAGAAAAACGAGAGTAAAGTTCTAGATGTGTCAAATACGTTCGGAGCACACTATGTCTTACGCGGTCAGCACTAATATCTTATAGTGGAATATAAAGGCCTGACCGCCATACAAGTCACTAACTCCACTAACGTATATACATTGTACACATCAAGCTTATTCTCGTTTTCTTAATCCCCAATAAAAAAAGAGGGCATAACTGTCATTTCACTGTCATTCAAATTGTGCTATATATACACCCCCATTCACCAAACTCAATCTCAAACAGAGTCCACTTGTCTTTTTAGTACAACATACTTTGACGACCATGACAATGAAGAGAAGCAGAGAAGATGTAGAGGTCGAGGCACTAGCCATGGCCAACTGTTTGATGCTGCTCTCCCGTGTAGGAGAGACAGCGTCGACGTCCGGCCGTGTCTTCGAGTGCAAGACTTGTAACCGGCAGTTTTCATCGTTTCAGGCCCTCGGTGGCCACCGGGCGAGCCACAAAAGGCCAAAAATGATGGCCATAGAACTTGTTATTGACCAGTTTCCGGGATCTCCTGCGAAGCCGAAGATACACGAGTGCTCGATATGCGGCCAAGAGTTCCCCAACGGACAGGCGCTAGGCGGTCATATGAGGAGACACCGGCCTGTGAGTAACCATTCCAAGGAGGAGGAGGTGGTGCTGGATATGAAGAAGTCCAGTAGCAAGAGAGTTTTGTCCTTGGATTTGAATTTGACTCCGTATGAGAACCATATGAAGTTCAAGTTTGGGAAGATGCTCACTGTTTGGTGATTACGTTTCTGAACTAACATCACATCGCCTTTTTAGCATGTACTAGCTTGCAGTAGTTTTTTATTTTATTTTATTTTATGTAATTATGATCAAATACCTTCGTTGTTTTAATCGATTGATTCTTTTGGAGATATATAAAGTTTGTATATATATATATATATATATATATATATATGTTGGCTTTTGTTATTATACTACTTTCTTTGTTCATCGTATACCATTTTGTTGGCTTTGCCATGATACCACTTTGTTAAAAATAAGTGGGTTAAACACACAACATTCAATATTTAAGAAAAGAAGAGGATATGGAAGACTATTAGGAAAATTATTTTTTTCACTTCTACTGTTTCATTTTATTCTTCTACTCACATAAAATAAGTATAATACATGAGCTGACGTATGTAACCAATTACATTTCAATGCCTAATTATTCCCACTAATCCTACAAATATAGTATTTAGTAGACTTTACTCTTATATATTTCACTAACACAAATACAAACTCCCACTAACACATAATTAACACACCATATTTTTTTCTTCTCATTCTCTGTTTCTCTCTAATAGCATTCTCCACGTATAAGTGGATTTTCAAGAGGAAAATGAAGCCCGGTGGTTCAATAGACCCGGTCCGAGCTTGGGCTGGGGCGGGGCGGGGCTTAATTGTGAAATCTGTTTAATTTTTTATTAAACAAAAATGAGTTTGTGTGTTGGATTTTAATTTTATTTAGGAGGGCGAAATTGGGCCTACTTAATGGGCTGGTTTTTAATTTAAATTAAAAACCAGATTTTAGTTTTTTCAATAAAAGGTTGCACCCATTATCTTTAAACTGAACCAATGCATTCAGTTTTTTAACCACCTAACCTGAACCATTACAACCCATGCAGGCGATGGTTCAAGCCATCTAAAAAGGCACCATGAGGCCTATATAAACCTCCCCCTTGGTTCATTCCAAAGCACTCCAATTCAGAATATTTCTCCTACTTTTAAATTCTCTCATTTTTCTCTCTTCTTCTATAATTGTCTGTGGGTTTGAGCCATAGTCTTTGGGTTCGAGCCTTGGTCAGTGAGTTCGAGTCAAAGAGTACTACACTGAGCCGGTTCACATATTCCTTTGGTTTGCAGTGCTACTACCAAAGGAAGTAAAAGTCGTTATATCCTGAGAAACAGACACCACTAAGTCCGTTAGCACCATAACGAGATGAATCTGTCTTAAGGACATAAAATCAAATTCTAACATCGACTTCTAATCAAATTCTTTTATCTTATATATAGTTTTATTTTAATATATTAAACTATATAATATAAGAAATTATATATATATATATATATATATAGTTATTTTATAATAATAATTATATATATATATAATCATTACAATTTTACATAATATTTAAATAAATAATAATATAGTATATGTTATATAGACCACATAATTTTGGATAAAATATTCTTCCTCGTGCCAGAGGTATGCGGCTCATTCTCAATCTCATGTGTCAATTGTGAATTATGAAACAAATTTTCATATAGTTAAATTACCTAACGGAAACTAATAAAATCAGCAGCAAAAAATGAATAAAATATTAATTTTGTCTTTTTTATACTTGAAATGACAGTGAATATTTTATGAACAAAACGATAAAATAATACACTACTGTTATCAAATTAGACAATAGTCACTGATAAGAAATATGTGAAATTATGAAATCAAGAAAGAATTTATGCAAAATATTGACAAACTTCAAAATAGGTAAGTAAAATTTATCCTTATTGAATTATGAGAAAGGCTTGACTACTCTCGCTCCAAGGCCTGACCAATATATATTTTAGAACAAAAGTACACGAGAAAAGTTCAGGAAATATGTGATATAAAGAAATGGAAACGTTTTGGAGGCTTTCTTAAATTTTTCTAAGCACATTCACATTGTCTGCCCAAGGGAATCTAGAAGTTTATCTCATTTCAAAAACAAAACTTTTCCCACCAAATTAAAAACCATACTTTCCAACTAAAAAAATTTGGAATCCTAGTGTATAATTTTCCTAGAGCTTGAATAGCTGTAGTCAATCTTGTGTTTTAAGCTTGCGCAGCTCTGAACTGAATTTGACTATATATATATTATTTTTACAAAAACAAGAAGAGTTAGAAGTTAGATTAATAGGTATAAAGAGTCGAAGTCGGGTACTCCCCGACTTCCCAAAATTTATCATAGGCACTAACCACTGGACTATCGAAGCATCTGCACATGAAATATATGGACCTGCGGGCGGCTTCACCCTTGGTGGTAAACACATTTAAATATATTATATATATTATATATATATATATATATATGGTAGTTTAATATTTATCTAAAAACTTAATTTATTGAGTAATATTATATACTCATTCATTTATACATACTTTAACTCTTATTTAAATTCGATGTTAGACAAGTCTCACTTGTAATACTTAGTAAACAAATTTTCCATCCATCAATTAATTAAAAGCTCATACTCTTGGCCAAACAAATTAATTAAGTGATAATTAAGAATATAAAATGTGTCAACTCTCTAATTAGCATGATAACAGGGCTGACGTGTTTGTATTTGGTCTGACGGTTGCAGTTGCGTTATGTAAGGTTTGAGAGTGGGGAAGAAGAAAAGGCTACCTTAATCAGTACTTTCTCAAAATTGACTTACAATTGAGGTTCAACAAAAGGTCAGAACATGTGTTAGGGTATAATATAATGTATTATAATTTCAACGAAAACATATATTGTTGTGTTCAAACTTGAAAGGGTTGTTACTTGTTAAGTCTGAAAATGACACCTTTCAAAACAAAAAAAAAATCTGAAAATGACACCTAAGATCATCTCCAATGCATAAAACTATTTGTGGATGACAAATTTATATTTTGAGAGGTATTACACTATTAAAATAATATATTTTAGCAATTCTACTCTAATAGTGCCTTACTATTTTTTGACACAACCACCATTTTTTTTTTCAACAACTATTTCCAACTTCCATTTTCAACCACTATCTTTTTCCATTACAAATATAGATTTGGCATGAGAGAGATGAGAGAGAAACAGATTCACTAAAGGTCATGCCACAACCCAAAACCACGGCAACGGAGGGAGCCACGATCGGACCACCCAAAGACCACGGCAGAGGGAGCCATGATCGGACCACTTAGAACCACGATCGAACCACGGCGACGTACGAAAGTAGCCGTGGGGCCGATTTGCTGCCGAGATTAAAGACCCCTGGAAGAAAACCCGAGTCAAGCTCGGCACCTTCGACTCCGCCTACGTCGCCGCACGCGCCTACAACACCGCCACTAGGTCTCTCCGCGGCCCCAAGGCCAGATTGTTGAATCTGCTGCCGAAGTTCAAAAATAGCTTAAACTTGTGGTTAACAGCAGATATCGCGTAGGCAGATCGTGGGTTGTCCTCTTGTCTTTCTCTGTGTAAATTGGATGCTTAGACTCTCACTCTTTATCTCTCTCTCTATATATATATTTGTTATGTGAAAACTGAATATTGGTACAATGAACACGGAATGACAACAGATATCGTTGTAGATGAGAAGGAAAGAGAGACAACAGAGATTGCAATATTGAGGGACCGAAAAAATAACTGGGGAGTGAGGGAGATAGGAAGAAACGGTGTCGTAGGGCATTAAAAGAGACTTGCCAAAAAAATTGGCAGCTCTTACATTTAAGAAAAAAATTTGAGATTTTCAAATTTTGAGAGGCCAAATGAAAGGCCATTGGAGAGCCCCTTTTTACCCCATATCTCAAATTATGAGTTTGAGAGCCCAAAATGAAAGAGCAATGAAGTTGCTCTAAGAACAACTCCAATGGGCTGCTATTTTCAAAATATAGCATGTAAGTTTAAAATGAGTTCTCCCATGGCATGTCAAATGGGCTGCCAAAATATAACTTTGTCAAATATTGTGCCAAATATAATACAACATATAGCTATTGCCAAATATAATACAACATATAGCTATTGCCAAATCTGCTATTGCTCTCTTCCTTCTCTCTTCTCTCTCGCATGGGCTGCCAATTTGTGTTGGGCTTGTATATATATGTGTGTGTGTGTGTGTGTGTCAGCTATGTTTGTGTGTGTGTGTGTGTGTGTATATATATGTCAGTGTTATGTGTATATATTTGTTGTGTGTGTGTATATATATATATATATATATATATATATATATATATATATATATATATATATGTCAATGTTTTTATTTATTTATTTTTAATAAGGCAAATAAGTTAAACAAAATACAAACACTTACAAAATAAATAAATAAATAAAAATGGTTGTTGAAAATTGTAATTGGGAGTGGTAGTTGAAAAATAATGGTTGTTGTGTCAAAAAATAGCATTTTGGATGAAATGTGCTATTGGAGCAGAATTGCTAAAATATAACATTTTGATACTATAATTCTTTTCAAAATATAAATTTAACATGCAAAAATAACATTTTACATTGGAGATGGTCTAAAGCTAAGCGAATCTGTATGGGGTTGCTATGACCACATAGATTATTAAAAAATGCCGGACATGCACTAAGACTGCGACTCTGCTGCTAGATAGGATCAAAATTAACTGTTACATGCATGTACTTTTATTCATAATACTTTTAGAAATTATAAGCAAAGTAATAACAAGATAAAATAATAATACTAGGTACAAATATTTTAATGAGTTGAATTGAGTTGAGTTGAGTTTAGGGTTCAATATTTGTGAGTTTGGTTAGTTTTAACTCACAAAAATCAGCTAATCTCATAATTTGTATCAAATAATACTTACGCCTTAATCTGTGAACTAATAACAAATGAATAGGCCCTTTTTAATTATAAAATCAGAAAAAGTTACAAGAATAATTTTATACCCCCACCATTTCTATTATGGTAATTAAAGATATACTCCACCATTTTTGATTTAGTAATTGAGGATATAGTACATTCTTACTGCTAAAACTTAAGTATTATGTATATCATCTTTATTACTTTTACTATATATCATTGCTCTCTATATTTATTACCCTCACCATTTCTAATATGGTAGTTAAAGATATACCATATCATTTCTGATTTAATAATTAAAAATTTTCACACTAAGGTTCTAATATATGCATACAACTTCCGTATACAACATATCTATATATTTAATGAATTTGACTTTCATTTCATGGGCCCAGTTGATTGAAATTTGAACATT